ATGGGAGAGGCTGCGCCACCCTCCAGGAGTGACTTGCAAGAACCTAGAAGCTTCTTCCCTCTGAGCCCCTCTGGGGTGTGGTGCTGGAGCAGAGATGGGAGGACTGCTCAGCAGAGTTTCAGCTTACTGGCCCACCTCCAAACTGTCAGCCTGACATCTCGCTCCTACTCTCTGGTCTTTTGGCTGGAGGCATGGATGCCAAGGGGTACCGGGGCCACTGAGAGAATGCAATGTTCTTAGAAGAGCACACCTATGACTCACACCTATGACCAACAGACCCTCCCAGGGCAGTTTGCTGGCCCCATGTGACAGATGGGGAAACTGAGGCTCAGTAACTTGTGAAAGCACCAAATGACAAAGCCAGAACTAAGAGCAAGCTCTTTCTGCTATACTGCCTTGACCAGGTAAAAGTCACCGTTCCTCATGGCAGATCTGAGTGGTCCCAAAGCAGCTCTAAAGGGGGTTGAGTGGTGATCACAGAGCCAACACTTTTGTCTTTATTAGCTCCCAAAATACTGAGAACTCCAGGGACGAGTTGTAGGAGTTGTATAGGAGTTGTAGTTTCATTCTCTATTTAAAATGTCTGAAATATTTTTTAAAGGATGACTATGCACTCATTTACACGAGGACATATAATAGGTTTTGCAAAGGGTGCTGAACACTTGTTATACATGATGCACACCCACTTCCTCTCTATTGTTGGACTTTCTGAGTTACGTGGACTACAAATCCACCTCCATTTCCAAGCTGGGTGACCTTGGGCAAGTGACTTCTCCTACTTGAGCCCCAGTCGCCTAAAAAAATGGAGGTACAGCCATGCTCTTAGTCTTGCTGGGAGAAACCATGGCGTGAGGTACGCAGAGCCCTTTGCCTTTGTATGCCTGGCATACAGTGTTGGCACATCTGGTTATTATCATGATCCTTCTGGATCTTTCTAGATCCCACCTGGCAGAGGAAGCAGGATCTGTCAGTGCAGACACCTGGAAGGCCATCTTCCCACGCTTCAGACTCAGGCTGCCCAATTCTCATATTCTACATCCAACAAAACTCAGGCACAGATGGGAATAGACTAACCCCAGGTGCCACAGCAGGGAGGGATATTGCTGGGGACCTTAACTCTGCCTTAGAACAGCCACATGGAGGCCAGGGATTTAGCTCAGTGGTTTTGCCGCCTGCTGCACAAGTGCAAGGACCTGAGTTTGATCTCCGGTACCAAAAAAAAAGAACAGCCACATGGAAAAGCAGGTTTCTCTGGATGTACTTTTTTTTTTTTGTACCAGGGAATGAACTCAGGACCTTGAGCTTGCATGGCAGGCACCAGAACCACTGAGCTAAATCCCCGGCTGGATGTACTTTCATTACCACTTACCTGGTGATTCCATCAGTCCCCCGTCAGGAGACTTCACAAGCACCTCTGTCTGGAGTAGTGTGGGGCTCCTAAAAAGGGTCACCCATATTCCTCCATCAGAGCAAAGCAAGAAGTCCTTCCATAGCCTATGACCAGGGCCAGGAAACTATTTGAGCATCGTTCCCCAGGTTAATCATTGCCTCCCTCACTGGTGGCACACTCAGTCCCTCAGAGCCCAGCAGGAGCTATATGGGACACAGTTCTTTCATGCTGGATGACTAGAGGACAGTGAGGGAAAGGGAAGGCAGGCATTCTTTGTCTACATGTGCCTGAGCAAGAAGCAAGGAATCAAGTAAGCTTGAGGTGGCAGCTGGGAACAGGGCTCTGTTGTCTCTGCTCCCAGGGTAACAGCCTGCCCACCACCGAGTGTCAGGCAGAGCTGGGAGCCAGGGAGGCCAGAGGGAGGGGTCTGGGGCAGCCCAGGCAGATCCAAGAGGCGAGGACCCCATGGGGCAGGAAGGGCCTGGGTAGGGCATGAGGTCCTGAAGTAGGGTCCCAGGCAAGGCTCCTGTGATTTGGAATCAACCCACCCACCTCTGACCTTTGTGACCTTGGTCAAGTCACTGAATCTCCCTGAGCCTCAGGTTACCCCTCTGGATAATGGGGATAAGCAGTAATGGTCCCTTGCAGGGCAAGGTGCAGAGCAGCTTAGAGGCTGCTCTGGCCCAGGTGTGCCTGAGGTGTGCTTCCTGTGTGGCCTTGGACAAGCCTCATCTTCTCTGGGCCTCAGATCACCTCAGTAGAGAAACTGAACCCTAACTGAACTCCTAACTGAACCTTCCTCCACTCCTCTCTCCTCCTAAGGCTTTCCATGGCACCAGTCACGGTGGCAATCCCAGAGATCAGGTGTCAGGCCTGTGGCCCTCTTTCCCTCTCTCCCTCCCCCTGGTGTCAGTTACAGCAGCCAGATGTGGGCCCATCACCTCTCCTTCTCTGCGAGCTGGGGAGGAGGGGTCCCCAGTGGAAAGGGCACACAGTTGTGCTCTGTGTTGTTACCAAAGCTCTGGCCTGGAACCCTACAAGCACACGAAGCTGGACCCCCAAACCGGACACTGACCCAGGACACTGAAGTGTAGGATTTCAGGTGGGACCCCTCCTGGGCACTAGACTTTGTCCCATACCCAAAAGCCTCTCCTCAGTGGCCTTCCCCCCACGGGGCCTTCCTCAAACAGAGGGACTGGTCCCTTACCACGGCCCCCAGTCCCTGCTCTGAAAGACCCTGTGGAGAGGGATGGTAGGGAAAGGAGCTCCCTGCCCCCTTTCACTACTGCTCAGCCTCTGCCCAAGATTAATCATTAACAGACTCACAGCTCCAGCCCAGCCAGCAACCTGCCTTAGCCCCACCCTCCAAACCTCTGGGGACTAGGGGCACCGGGAAAAATCCAAGGCAGGACCAGCATCAACCTGTGCCCTCCCTGCTGCCACCCCGGGCGCAGGGATGCTGTACACGCATCTCTCAGACAGCAGGCCACAAGTAGAGCCCCTTTGGCCACTGAGGCGGTGTGGGCGGGGCCCTCAAGAAGTAGACTGAGTCGACACAAGCCAACAGTGAGTGCTGGCCCCCGGGACATACCTTGGCCTGGTTCTCCGCGGGCTCAGCGTGGCTGGCTCGGGGTGGGCGTGCCGCCCGGGCGCTCGCTCACTCACTGGGCGGCGGGGTGCACCCGCCGGGCCTCCGCGGTCCTCCAGGCTTGGTCCATGTTCCTGCCCCTCTGCCGCAGCCACAGCGGCCTCCTTGCAGGCTGTCGCTCCCGGCCAGGTGCGGTCAGCAGCCCAGCCCAACCCCCTGCGCTTCGGCCAATGGGCGCTCCAGGCCCTGGTCCCCTCCCGCCTAGTCCTGGCTCCTGCACGCCCGCCCAGAGGCACAGAAGCCGCATTCAGCGAGCAGGGGCACACAAACTCGCCCCCGCCGTCAGCCCAACAAGGCCCATTTGTCTGGACGCGCCAACGGGACCATTGTCCTGTGGGCGGCCCTTTGGCTCAGCGGAGCCCCCAGCCCCAGAGGGGACTGGAGAATGCTTGCAGCTTGATGGTGGTACCCTGGGCCTGACAGTGATGGAAGATTAGTTGCTTTTTATTGGGGGACTGGTGCCCTCAAGATCCAATGGAAGGTCTGACCTGCTCTAGTCTGTGTAAATAGACCGGGATACATTTCTGGAAAGAAAGGCAGGGGCTGGGTTGGGGTAGAGGTGTTGGTGAGGGGCAGCCAGGGTCCCCCAAGGGAGCTCAGGCAAGGAACCTGGCTCCATCAGAGACTTCAAAGTCTGAGCTGACCCTCCTCTCCAGGGTGCCCATCAGGGCTGAGTAGGCAGGGACAGCCAGGATGTGGGTGCTAAGTCTAGGACCCATCTCCTTTTCCAGGCCCAGGGTTTTCCCCTTTCCCCCAGGGGAGCAGGACCAAGGACGGGGTTATTGCCTATGAGGAATTTTCAGCTCCAGCTGTGGGCAGTACAGAAGCAGCTGGCCGCCAATAGGGCATGAGCCACGTCAGAGCCCTGGTGCCCCCGCCATTTCTGGGCTCCTCTGGAATGGGGAAAATTCCGTATCAGCATGGCTGCCAGGCATTCTTCCCTATCTGATGGGTCTTTGACCTTGTGGCCCAGGATGTACATGCACCCAGGCAGGCCTGAGTCATCCCAAGGGTGCAGGCTCTGGATCCAGGAGTCCTGACCCTGTCTCTGCTTCTCCCACTGCCATGGATATGCCACCATGGGCACAAGACACAGCCCTCTCCTCCCACAGTGAGGTCCTGTTGGTGGGGGTCCTGAGTTCTCTGCTTCTAAGCCAGTTCCCTCTACCTGTAGCCACTGGCCAAGAGACACTCTCCACCTACAGAACCAGTGCACAATGACCGGCAGAAGGTCAAGGCCTTCGGGTGTCTAGATTCAGGGAAAGTAGAGCCCAGTTCCAAACCCACTTTTTCCATCTGGCCCCTGCTCTAGGCAGCACTCAGCTAGCTCACCAGAGTAGCCTTGGGGGAAGGTGGAGGAACTTTGGAGTGCACATCCAGAGACCCAGGTTCTAGCCCTGGCTCTGTCATGATGCAGTCCCACACAAAGGACGATGCCCGGGTATCAGCAGGTACTGCCAGGTCAGGTGCAAAGTACAAGGCAGGACTGCAACAGTCTGGCGGTGGTGACACTGGAGGTTACTTGGTTCTTCCCACCAGCTCACAAAGCTAGGAGTGCACCTGCCCTTGAGGTTCCCAGATCCTCAGGCACTTTTACCTTCTTGGCTAGCTCCAGCACTTGATAAGTGACATACTGACTCTCTATAAAGTTATCATTGACTGACCCCTCACAGTCTTTTGAGGGAGGCTCCTAACCCACACTCACACCGGCAACTTAGGAGGAAGCAGGTTCACAGAGGGAAAATGACTGGGCTGGAATGTGAGAGAAGGTCAGAGCAAGCATGAAGGCCACTCCCAGAAGCTCTGTGCCTTTTTGGCATCTCTGCCCCTGGAGGCATCCTTGGACACCCAGAGCACTCTGAGTGAGTCCAGGCCTATTCTGGTACATAGCTGGGCTGGCAGAGCCCACAGCACAGGGCACCAGGCAGCACTTCAACCCCAGGAATGCTCCTCAACACAGAATCCAAATGCTACAGAAGTCCAGCCGTTTAATAACAGAAGTTTCCCCACTCTCACCCCATCACAGCACCCTGACAATCACAGGTCCAGTCATGTGGGTGGAGGCTATGTGGGAAAGCCAGGGTGAATGGAGGCAGCAAGCGAGGGGTCTGTCAGCTGGCTGCTCCCCATGTCACTGACTCCTGAGAATGCAGAAGGCCTCTTCTCTGCTCAGCCACCAGCAGGGAGCTCCATCCATGGGAACTGGATGGCCCACACACCCAACCAGAGAGCATGAGGGAGCTAGGGCTGGCCAGGGGAAGGGGCTAAGAACAGAAGTGACCAGTCTGCCACCAAGCTTAGGTCCGCTGGCCTGTCTCTGCCATGTCCAGCTGCCAGGCGGGCCACAAGCACTCACACAGGCCTTGTCTTCTTTGCCTTCTTCTCAGACCTCAGAGCCTCATCATGAGCTTTCCGCTTCTGTGCCAGTTTGTTGGCCTGTGAAGAAAGAGGATGTGAGCCTGGGTGTGGGTGTGGGTGTGGGGATGGGGTAGGGGTAGGGTACGGAAGAGAATCTTCACTCTTCCATTCAAGTTATTTTTTTTTTTTTTGGTACCGGGGATCGAACTCGGGTCCTTGCACTTGCGCAGCAGGCGGTGAAACCACTGAGCTAAATCCCCAGCCCCTCAAGTTATTTCTTAAAAGCAGAGTGGGTATAAGGGGGGGGGGGATAAAATAAAATTTAATTAAAAAAAAAAAAAGCAGAGCTTCTAGAAAAGCTAACAATCAGACACACCCTCTCCTACACTATGGCTCTTTTCACTTTATGGGCTCACAAATCTCCAGTTATGATCATCCTTGGCTCCCAGAGCTAACAGAACCTCACTTAGCAACTGTCCCATTTACCAGCCCCACTCATGAAAGCTGGATGCTATTCAAACCTTCACCAGGAACTGGCAAGGAGGGCAAGCCAGTGAGACTTTCCAGGCCACTATGCAGTATGTATTTTAGAACTGTAGCCATCACAAACCCAAGAGTTAGCCTGCAGAAACATTCCAAGGTGGGTAGGGACATGTTCAGGGATGTTAGCTCTGAGAATGACTAATCCTATCAGTAGAAGACAGGTCACATATTATACAATGTCTTGAAACACACACTTCAAAACAATCTATGAAAAGCATGATACTCTCCAAATAATGCCATTATGTGCACAAGAGAAACTGGAGAACTACTCCTACAGATCACCCCAAAGGTAGGACTGTGAGCCACTTCTGTGGCATCCATTACAGATTTCTTGGGTTCCACATTTTTTGTTTGTTTTTTTGGTACCAGGGATTGAACTTGGGACCTTGCGCTTTCGAGGCAGACAGCGGAACCACTGAGCTAAATCCCCTGCCCCATATTTTGTTTTTTAAATGAGCACATGTGGCTTGTGAATAAAGAGAAAATGGAGTTTAGCAAAAACCTCCCAATTCTGCCAGAATAACTCTCTTTCCTGAGGCTCAGGAACAGCAGGGAGCAAGAAGGGGACAAAAGCCCCAAGGAAGGCTTGGATGGGCCAAGAAGGTGACCTCAAGGAAAGGATACCCAGAGGACAGTCCCATTCCCCACTCCCACCCCTACCGCTGAGTTCACTGCACAGCACAGCCACATCTGGTGGCCAAGCCAGAGTCTCAGGTAGCAGTGACAGGAACTTACCTCTCGGATTTTGCGCCTCTTGCCGAACATGATCTTCTGGTAAAGGTACTTCTCCCGCTTCTTCATCATCATGATGGCCAGGCGCTTGGCCTCACTCTCCTCCTCCTGGGCCAGCCGCTGCCTGTCCTCCAGCTTCACGGTACCTGCCATCACCCTGGGTTTCTGGGGAGACAGAGCAGGTACTTGTGGGTGCCGGTTCTCCAGGCCCTACCCTTCTGAACCAGAGGGGCTGCTGGTTGAACGGCAGTGCCTCTGGTCGAATGCTCCCATACCTTCTCCTCTATCCTCTGCTGCTCCAAGGCTGCCAGGTGGGCCTCTTCTTCCTCCTCAGAACCAGCCACTTCCTCCTCCTCCTCCTCTTCATTTTCTCCCGCTTCATCACCATCCCCTTCATTGTGTTTTCTGTCTTCTTCTTCTTCCTCCTCCTCCTCCTCTTCATTTTCTCCCGCTTCATCACCATCCCCTTCATTGTGTTTTCTGTCTTCTTCTTCTTCCTCCTCCTCCTCCTCTTCTTCTTCAGATGCTTTCAAGTTTCCTACGGATAGTCAGTGACTTCTGTGTGCCCTGGGTACCTGCTCTTTCCCTCACAGGGTGAATGCTGGCCCAGACACTACTCTCTCAGACCTTGACATCCTCAGACATGCCGAAGGCAGTTCAAGGCTGTATCCACTGTAGCCTTTCTGGTCTCTCCCCACAACCACAGCTGCCTTCACGGGAACCTCCAAGGTCCCCAGCCCCCACCCCAGAATTCTGTCTCCTATGTGAACATAGATGACTACTCTACACTGTTCTCTGTTATATCCAGTTACTGTGAATGTAAACATCACCTGACTGTAAGATGCAAATGCTCCCTTCCCCACCCTTAAGCCTTACTCCCAAGGTGGCTGGAAGGGCTTTTGGCTGCCTAGAGTTTGTAATTCTCTAGCCCAGAGAAATGACCAGATCAAGAAGCCTGTCCACCCTGGTGCTGGCCCCCTCCCACTTACCTGGGTCCTCTCCCCGCTGCAGAGCCAGCAGCTTCAGCTTCTCGGGTGGGATGTAATCTCCTTCCTTCTCAGACACGAAGGGTGAAAGGTGTGGGGGCAGCCGCACCCCAGGGAAGTACTCTGCCACAGGGAGGAGGAGCCGGGCATTGACGCAGTCAAACACCCACTGGGGCTGCATGTAGTACCTGGTGCAGAATGGCCAGCAAACACAGGTCATGAGGAACTAACTGGAGTCCCATTGCTCAGCAAGGGCCTGAGACAGTCCTCTCCCAAAAATGCACATGAGAGCTTGGGCCTACCTGCCAATGACGGGGGTTTGCTGTCCAGGCCGGTCAACAATCTGGTGGGTGATTTGGGAGTCTGTGACATCATAGGTGGCCCCAATGCACAAAGATTTGTCCCAAGACACGTCCCCCCCGAAACTCCTACAGGCACAGGAAGAGACCACAAAGGTCCCCAGGCATGAGCTGCCTGCTATAGGACCCAACTCCTTGAGACCTGCTGCTCCCCCAGCCCACAAATTCACCCTATCAGGAGAGTGCCCATCTCCATCCTGGACTCTCCAGTCTGTGCTATCACCTCCAGTACGGCCCCAGCAGGGACCTCAGCTGGTGATAAACCAATGGCAGCCCTCCCCTTGGTTGAGTGCTTCTTAGATGCTCGGGCCAGGCCATGCAGGGAAACAGATGCCAAGTTACTCACAGGTACCCATGGCAGGACCCAGACTGGCACATAGCCAGGGACATGGGCCAGCCCACAGAGCCTACCCACCTGATGATGAAGGCCAGGGCCTCTCGGGGCACCTCACGGTTCAGGAAGAACTTCAGGCCCTCAAAGAGCTTCTTATGCTTTTCTTGTGCCTCCAGCTCCTTCCTGCGGTCCTCTTCCTGCACAGCCATCTCCTGCCGAGGCCAGGACTCATGTCACCAGAGTCACCCACCTCCCTAGGGGGCAGGGGCTGGAGGTGACTCCCTCCCAAGCTTCTTTCTAGATCTGGCCTCCATGTCCAGTCCCATTCCTTTGAGAAGGCAGCACAGTGCTCACCCCATCAGCAGGAAACTCGTCGGCCTCGGCCTCCTCCTCTGCAGCAGGGACCACCACACGGGCCAGGCTGGCACTGAGGGCTGCCAGTTTCTACAGGAGGGAAGCAAAGCTGCACGGTTACCTGTTTGCAGGTAGGGACCCTGTCAAGGTGTGGCTGGGATGGGGAGAAGCAGTGATAGCTCCAGGCCAGCCCTGAGACCACTGACCTAGCCAAGTTGCCCTTACCCAAGGGTGGAACCCCAGAGGTCTTAGAGACAGAGACCACGCCTTTAGGGAGATGCAGGGCTAATGCCTGTGAAACCCCTCTCACCTCCATGGAGTTCTCAGAGTCCAAAGCGTAGACGTCCTCCCTTGGCTTCACCTCTGCTTGGATCTGACCCTCGAGCTGGGGGTGCAGAGGGAAACAAAGAGAAGAGAACAGCTCCAGCCCCTCACATCCAAATGGGGACAGAAGGGCTCGGACCAGGTGTGGTGGCCGATACCTACAATCCCAGCACTGGGGGATTACTGAGAGTTCAAGGCCAGCCTGAACTACATAGTGAGACCCTGTCTCAAAAAACAAAAACAAAAAAAGGCTTGGACTCTAGTATCATGTAGAGAAGGGGCTGGGCTGGGGTCCTACCTTTGGCGGGTAGTGGAGGTTGAGCGACTGGTAGAGGCGGAAGTTGACAAAGCCCAGCAAGGTGGTGTAGAACTCAGTAAAAGTGGCCATGACCCTGTAGTCCACATCTGTGGGGTGCTGGGGGCATGAGAGGTGCGTGAGCAGTGTGGGTGCAGGGTTGAGGCTGTGTGGCACACCCCCACCCATGGGCATTCTGGACATGAGTGAAGCTCAGGATAGGGTCCCTCAAGGATAGGGCTATCATGGAGGCCAGTGCCAGACCCCCACATGGTACAGTGGTGACAGTTTTCCCCCAGGAGAGAAGGATGACTGGTTTGAGGTATTCTTACAGCTGGCTACCCCCTCCCTCCATGCCTCATGCCTCAGTGCAGACCTCTGTGGTTTTTTTGGTTTGGTTTTGTTTTTTGTGGTACTGGGGAACAGGACCTTGTGCTTGTGAGGCAGGCAAAGCACCAATGAGCTTTAAATCCCTGGGCCCCCCAGACTTCTGTTCTTAAAGAAGTGACCTCCTCCAACCTGGGGAGCTCAAGCCCTCTCCATCATCCCTCTCACTATCTGTTCAGTGTCGCTTAGAGCCAGCTGAGTCCAGTAGGGCAGTCCTCCCAGAGCACAGCCCAGTCCATGGCCCCGAGGTGCCCTGGAAAGGCCAGGCCCATCCACACCCTGGCAAGAGCCTTGGGATCGATGCTCACATTTCAGTCATCTCTCCTCAAGCCCATATATCGAGTACAACCTGAAGGCCTAGCTCAAGTGCCAGGGGCCGCTTGGGAAAGAATCACTACTTGCTTGGAGCAGAGGCAGAAAGCCAGATTCACAAGCTGCCAATGCAGCAAGCATGGTTCATCGCTGCCCTGAGGAGTTGATGTGAGACCCGGACCACTGTGCCTCAACTCTCAACTGGTCCCACAGGGATAGACAAGAGAATTTTTCAAGAAATATCAAAATTAGTAATGATAACAACATCCCCTCTCTGCTGGGTGTACTCAAGACTCTGAGCTGCTTCTTTACCTTGCTGCCAGGCAGTGACATGTGCTGTGGGGGCTCTGTCTGGTCCCTTGACAGGCCTGGTGAGCATCTGGGCACCAACCTCACTCTGCACAGCACAGAACTGAGCAGAGCACCCCTCCCCGCCCCCAGCCTGGGTCCCACTGCTGTGTGCATAGCACTGCTGCTCATCTTCAGCTGAAACGAAGCAGTGGTGGAAGCAGGGATGGGCGGCTGTGCCCTTCCCCCAGGGGCAGCTGTGTGGAGGCTGGCCCTCCACAGGGCCCTATTCACCACTCACGAAGGCACACAAAGACCAGTCTGAGTGGCTCGGGGGTGGGACATCAGAGAACAGGAAGGACAGAGGGCCAGAGAGAAAGGCAGGAAGGAAGGAGGAAAGGAGGAAGAGGGATGGAGAGGAGGGAAGGGCCACAAGCTCTGGCTACCCACGTCTGCCTCAGGGGGTGGGACAGGGACTGCTGAGGCGAAAACTCATCTCTCACCCACAGACAGACCTCTCAGCCCACCACCAAGTGCCAATGTGCTATACCCAGCCCTTGCACCCCCACCAGCCTGCGGCAGGGCCAGATCCCTGCTCACCCCAGAGCACCTGGTAGGTACCTCGGGCAGAGGCAGCCCCTTCCCTCAACCAGGCTGGTGGTGGCACTTGCTGTCCACAGAAGGCACCAGCTCTTGCTCTATGAAGAACCAGAAAGGTGGCCCAAGGGCAGCCCACAGAAGGAAAGCCCAGATATCCTGGCCAGGACAGACACTCGGGGACACTAAAGGCCTCCATTGGAGGCAAACCAGCATTTCTCTCAGTGGGGACCTGGCAACAACCCTTAGAACTTAAAGAAAGATCAGTGAGAGGTAGGGCCATGTGTAAGGGAAAAGCTGTGCTGGAGGATGGGACAGGGGAGCAGAAGCAGGAGGGAAACAGCTTACCAGGGTCTGAGCCGTCAGTGGCACAGTGGGGAGAAGGGCCCCATGGGTGTGAGGGCAGGGCCAAGTTCTGTTCATGGCATACATTCACCCAGAGCTGCTCACACTTTTCATACAGCCCCCAAGGGCCAAGCACTGGGCATTTAAGATTTCTTTTCCCTTAAATGCGCATGACAAGCTTAGAAGGTGGAACCTTATTACTGAATGAGGCAGAGGGGTTCAGGAACACGTCCAAGGTCATCCAGCTGAAGTGTGCTGGAGCTGGGAGGGCTTGGGGACTCCTGCACAATGGTAGGGTCTGAGTATATTTATCACATTGGAAACTCTACAGAGGATCATGTGACAGAGAGCTGTGCAGCGGATTCCCCACTCCACTTCCCACCTGCAGCCAACAATCAGGAACCCAGCATGTGCTGGACTCCACAGGACAGCAAGTCCCCCATCCACACCTTCACGTCCATCTAGGACTCAGCACGAGAACTCCCCCATGGGCACACTCACATCATGGGAGAAGGCATAGGGTGTGATCCATACGATGGGCTGCCCCAGCACCTCAGCCTGGTAGTAAATGCCTTTGATGGACAGGAAGACCTGAGGAGAGGGAGGCAGACAATGGGGTAACAACCACAGGTGGCAGGAGAGGGGCAGGCTCCCTGGGCCCCAGCTCACCTTGCGCAGAGCACGAGCGGCAATGATGTAGTGAAGGAACTCCACAGTGAGCCGGCGGCACAGCTGGATGGTCTGCACGTGGCACTTGCCCGTCCGTGGGAAGGTGGAAAAGAGGAAGCACATGGACAGGGCGTCATCCAGGTCCCGCAAAGCATCGATGAACGTGGGATATCTGGGGGCCGTGGGGGTTCTGCTTGTGAGCTTGTTCAGCCTGGGCTCCAACCTCTCTACCCTACTCCATCGACCACCCCAGAGGTACCATTTCCCCAGCTTAGCCTCCCCAGGGCTATTTCTTGACCTCCTGGCACCAGCTTCCCTCAAGCTGGCTACAGACCTGGAACAGCCCTGGGAGAAGCCACTGAGGTCTGAGAACCAGAGAAATTCCAGTGGGAACCCAAGTCACCCACCACAGACCTGGCCTTGACCACTGCTGTATGAGGGTAGACTAAGTCAGTGGCTCCCTGACTCTTTTTAAAGGTAAGTTCAAAGGTAACTACTAAAGGTCCACAAAGGAAAATGGAAATGGGCAGCTGTCTCATGGGCCCAGGAGGAAGGTGGGACTGCCTTCCCAGCAACATGTGTGTCTGGCCTATCCACAGGACCCCATAGTAGGGTATGTCTTCCTTATCTCTCATCACTCAGATTTGTCTGCTTAGCAGAATCAATTAGAACCAGGGGTAAAAATGCTGGAAGTGGGATCTGGAGGAGTCTAGGAAGAGACACTGCAAGAAAGTATTTCCAGAAACACTATGGTAAAATGAGAAAGCCAATGAGAACCAGTCACCCTAGGTGGGATCCACCACTGTGTGGCTACCCAGCTGAGGGACTGAGGTGCAGGGCAGGAAGAACACACTGAACCACAAGTAATGAATGACACTTGGGTTCCAGTCCCATGTGACCCTAGGCAGGTAACTTCGCCACAGCCAACCCCAGCTTCATCTGGAAAATGATACTGCCTTTTCTTTCTCCAGATGACACTGCAAGACCAGACTGTTGATTTAAAACTGGGCCCTTGCAGCTACCTAGATTCCCTGGGTAAAGGGGACAGCATGGGCCTCTGGCCTCCTCCCAACATCCCTGCAGCTGCAGCAGCCTCCAGAACTTTTGGCCTCCAAACTCCCTTTCAAGAAGCTTCCTTTGGAAGGGTTCTGCTATTTCATAAAGGACTCTGAAGAGCATGGGACCAGACACTGCAAAGTCCTTCTAGCCCTATAAGGCATCACTCACAGTAGTGAGTCAGGAGAGGTCTGCCAGGTCTTTAAACCCAAGCAGGGATGGAGACAACAGAAGAGCCATCCGGGGTATCTGGTGCAGAGGCAGAAACAGAAACGTCAATTGCCCCCACTTTGGTACCTTGAAGTTTCCTAACTCCTCACCTCAAAGACCACTTGTAGAAATGGCACTGGTCATTTCTGGGCCACCCAATTTTCTTAAGCTCTGGTTCTGGCCAAGGGGATGAGGGTGCCACCTGGTTATGAATCCAGGGGCTTTTTCGTGTGCCCCTCTTTCTACCTGTTGTACAGAACAGCTGTATAATAGGCAGGACAGGAACTACCATCATCTGTATATTGGTGATGGGGATTGTCCTGCAACTGCCCAGCTCATGGCCACAAGGCTGGGGTAAAAAACACCATCTGTGGAGCCAAAGCCACCTTTCTGCAGCTAAGTATACCTGGGCCATTAGCCCAGAAGAAAAGAGACAGTCACTAGCCAAGGGTTTCTGAACTTCACCACTGCTGACATCTTGGGATGTCAGACTACTCTCTTCTAGAGCCTGTTCTGGGTAATGTAGAATATCTAGCAGCAACCCTAGCTTTATCCACTAAAAACCAAAAACATCCCATCCAAATTATAGGAACTCAAAACACTCCAGACATCGCTAAATGTCCCCTGGAGAGGTAACATTACCCCTGGTTAAGAATCACTGATTCAGGGCCGGGGATTTAGCTCAGTGGTTTTGCCACCTGCTTTGGAAGCGCAAGGTCATGAGTTTGATCCCCAGTACCAAAAAAAAAAAAGAATCACTGATTCAGTGAGGCATTTAGCGCAACGACACTGTGACTGCCTCACAAGTGCAAAGTCCTGAGTTCGATCCCCGGTACCCCTCCCCCCACAAAAGAATCACCGATTCAGCCTATGAATTAGGGGGACTTCTAAGAAGGCTGGGCAAGGAACAGATAAGACCAGAGGTGTCTGCTCATGCCTTACAGGTCTCACCATGTATTCCATGTGCAGTCCCAGAGGTCTCACTCTCTTTTACCACACAGCCTTTGCACTTGCTGTTGCCACTGCTCAGAGTGTGCTTCCCCTGGCTGGCTCTAACATCTCTAGAGACCTCCTCTGACAAGTGTGTCATTGACATACCTCCTCCAGTTCCCTGCATGCTGCTTACATCCCTCATGGTACCCAACACAACTTGCAATCATCCTGGTGACTTGTCAGTTTGGATTTGGGTCTGTCTCCTCACAAAGGATGTGCACTCTGTGAGCAGGGTCTTGGTCTTGTCCCCGACTCTGTCCTCAGTGCCAGGGCAGAGCCTGGCAGGCAAGACAGCAGTGATCTGAGGTGCATCTGACTCACCGCTCCTTGATGATATGGTCAAGTTTGTAGTTGGGCTTATTGTCCTTCAGACGCTCCACAGTGTTCCACTCACTTTTCCCATAGGCCTTCCGGAGCTTCCGAACAAACACCTGGGACAAGGGAAGGAGCACTGAGGATGGGCCAAGGAATACTGGATACCTCTCTTCCACAGAGGATGGATCCAAGGGGTGGGCAGCCCAGCACTGCCTCCAGGAGCTGGCCCTGGCTGCCTGCCTATAGGATCAGCCCCTTCAGCCCAGGATTTGCACAGCAGCCAACTCCAGAGAGCACCCAGCTGACCTACGATAACAACCTGAGCTGGACCGGGCACCTCCTTTAATGATGCACAGGGACAACCACTCACAGATATGCTGACACCATGTTCACATGGGGAGAATGAAAGGCAGGCCAGCCCCATTTTCTAAATGAAAAAACAGCCCAAGTGATGTGCCATTGAGGCAGATCAGAGTCAGAAGGGCTGGCCCTTGTTCCCAACTCCAGTCAGCATTGGCTGGGTCTTCCAAACCATCTGACATCCTCTTTCAAAGAACTTTTCTGTTCATGCCCATCCTTAGGGCTTCCCAAAAGTTCAAACAGCATCTGGGATGATAAACAGCAGCTCAGAGACAGTCACCTCCCACCATGGGCCCACTTCTAACAGTGGGTTTATGTAGCCACAGAACCCTAAACTGGGGCTCCCAGTCTCCTGTTGGCCACTAGGTGACACACTTCTGCTCAGGCAGACACAGCTCCCAGTCAGAAGTGTCAGTAGCAACAGTCTACTTTGAATTATTTCCACTTTGTAAAAAGAGGTTTCTGCTGTCCCTGTGGCATCTGAATGATCTCTGTCTGTGGAATGGTCTCCTGGGAGTAACCTCAGAAAGAACCAGATTAGGAGCTGTTTCTTTAGGCATAGAACGGACCAGAAAGACCCTGAAATAGCACGATCTTTGTTTCAGGAGCAAAAAAAATTTGATCTTTTAGGAAAGAACCAGGGAAAACTATTAATAGATAAAGCAGTATGAGTTCCAGACATGTAATCTCAGTGAATCCTTGAAACATCCCTTTGAGGCAGAATGACCCCCTCCTTCAAACAGGATTTTTCAGAGAGGTTGGCAACCTGCATAAGATCACAGTGAGTGAGTCACAAAGCTGTATGTAATGGAGACCCTTCCAGACACTCAAGCCTAGGCCTCCTCACCTTATATTCCCGAAACTTGTTGACGATGGGTTCATGGAGGAGAAACTTGATGTCTTTGATGAGATAAAAGGTTCGGGCTGCTGTGGAGCCCTTGTTAACTTTCTTCTTATGTTTGGGCTCATGGGGATAAATGCCCTTCAGGATGCATAGCCGCCTAGAAGATAGAAGCCATTTGTCATGTGAGTAAAGGTATAAAACACTTGGGCTTGGAAATCAACAGTGAACAGGGAGGCCAGGAGCCCTAGAGAGCTCACCTAATGCTGGAGTTTGAGGACACAAGTTTCCAGACAAATACATAATGGAGACTGCCACAAGCCCAGAAAGGAAACAAACAGGATTTTGAGAAGGGCTGGTAAGCACTTAATGCCTTGCTAAAAAAAAAATCAACATTTCAGCCACATAAAAAGGGGGGTGGGGGTGGAGTACAGGGCCAAGCCAGGTGTGGTGTTGCAAGCCTGTAATCCCAGCTACTCAGGAGGCTAATACAGGATGATTTCAAGTTCGAGGCCAATTTAGCAAGACTATGTCTCATAGAACAAAAAGGGCAAAGGGTGCTGTGCCAGCACTAGCTGGATTTAATCTCCAGTACCACCAAATAAAAAAAAAGGGGGGGGGGGTAGGGGTAAGCATCCTAAAAGAGACAAAGACTGTAAGGTTGGAAAGTGCAGGGCATCTATAAAGGACTAAGGCTGAGCTGGAAGAGGCTGCTGAGGTCAGGGCCAATGGCAGGGACCACAGGCTATAGAAAAGTCTGTACTTGACTCTGTAAGGAGAACCCCCGGCTGCGGGATTAGGGGTCTCTCTTGCCAGAACGGAGTGAGTGGCAAAGACCCTGCCAACTCATTCTGCAGACAGTTCTTCCGTTTCCCCTTGGACCACACCTGGCACGGCACAGCTCACTAAAGCAAGGCCAAGTAAGGAGGATGAATAGCAGAATTCCAGTCTGTAGCAGCTCAGAGAAGACCAGGAGGCAGCTTATTTTCATTGTGCACATCACAGCCCAGGCTCCCCAAGGACACAACTCCATTCCTCTCCAACCTTACCTAAAGTCTGGAAGGCTCAGCTGCAGTTTCTTCCGGGCTCTGTTTCGGGTGATGTAGTTGGTGGCGGAGCCTCGTTCATACTTGGGGAAGAAAAAAACAATTTTCCGTTAGCAATGATTGAATGACTGCCATCAAACTCTGGCCATGCCTAACTGCAGAGGCAACTCTGTAATTATCACTCTGGATAAGTGGTCAAGATGTTTCTGGAATGGGAATCCTGTAGGGAGGGAGCTGACCTACCTGAATGAGCTCTCCTGTACTGTCTTTGTAGATGTCAACATAAGGGACACAAACATCCATGTAATGCTGGGGACTATGTGGGGCTGTAACTCAGATGATGTCCCAAGTATTTAGTACTAGCTCTAAATACTGGCTAGTACAGTTAGTGGTTTTGACACCTTATTTCACTTCTTACAACCCAGTCAGCTAGGTGTATTAGAACCCCAATTTCAAAGAGGAAATAAGCTCAGTGAAATAACCTGTCTACATCACACAGCTTTTGAATGAATAGCTGGGGCTGGGATTCAAACCCAGGTCTGAGTTCAAAGCCTGTACACTTACTTAACTACTCAACCAGTGTTCTCAATCTCTCCCATTATAGTCCCTTCACCACCACAAGACTTTTTTTTTTTTTTGAAGACAGAGTCTCACTATGTAGTTCATGCTTACCCTGAACTCATTATGTAGTCCAGGCTGGCCTTGAAATTGCAATAAACCTCCTGCCTCGGCCTCCTGAGTGCCAGGATTACAGGCCTGCACCACCATGCCTGGCTACCACCACAAGACTTTTTAGACAGTCCCTACAATTCATCCTTTCCTCCCCACAGCCCCATGAAATAGTAATACCAGATATACTATAGATCTGCTTACGTAATGTGGTCCTTTTGAGGGGGCCACAAACCACTGTGCTATCTACGATACTCTCCCCACAACCAATTTTTGCTTTTTTGGGGATAGCACCCTGGTTGAAAATGCATGCCCTGCCAGGCATGATGGCACAAGCCTGTAACCCCAACCATTCAGGCCACTGCCGAGGCAATGAGGATCACAAGTTCAAGTCCAGATCATGTCTCAAAATAAAATTTAAAAGGGCTGGGGACATAGCTCACCATTGCCATAGTCAATTCCCAGTATTGGGGGGAAAATAAAAGGAAAAAAAAAAAAGTATGCCCTAAGCCACACAGCCTCTTCCTTTCCCCATTTATTCAACAGACAATAACAGGTCCTCTAACATGTTCAAAGCTAGACACTAGGAGAGCAATAAAGACAAAAGAAACCCAGTCTCTACATACCCTCAAGAATCATGATGTCCTGTACAGCCATCTGAAAATCTGTGATGCTAAGATAGTGCCTCACATTCACATCTCAGTATCCTTAATAGAAGCAGTGCACTGTACCAAACAACCCGCAGTGCTCAAACCCACATGTCCCTTCTGAAAGAGATCTTCCTCTGGAATAAGACAGAAGTGGCCTCTAAGATATCCTAGCTCTCGAGGGTCAAACTCATAGTCTCATGAAGACTAAGGGTTATAACTCCACATTCATGAAACACACCATTCATTCTTTCCTTCAAACATTTGGTAACTGTCTTTTGGGGATCAGGTCCATGCTAAGTGCTGGGAATATAAAGATGAACTTCAGACTGTACTATGATGTTAGTTTTCATAAGAATGTTTTCCATTGCCCTATACCACTCTGTCAAACATTAAGGGGATAACTGGTTCTCAACAGGGTGTCTTTACTTTCTGGATATGTGTGTGTGTGGAGTAAGGGAAGAGAATTCAACAATGTCTGGAAACATTGTTGGTTGATGGTTCCTACTGGGATCTAGTGGATGGGGGTTAGCAATATTGCTAAGCATCCTATAATGCACAGGACAATCCTTTTCACAACAGAGAATTACCAGGGCCAGGGATTTAGCTCAGTGGTTCCCTTGCCTGCCTCGAAAGTGCAAGGACCCGAGTTCTATCCCTGGTACCAAAAAACCAGAAAGAAATAAGAACAACAGAATTACCTGGCCCAAAATGTCAAAAATGGTTCTGAAACCCAGCTTGAAAGAAGTGCAATGACTTGTTACACTTCTGTATCCACGCCTCAAGGGCAGGTTTTCCATCTCTGGACCATGGCATCTTCCCTTTGATTTCTACTGCTCAGAATAAAATCCAAGCTCTTCACTGTGGCTTATAGGTCTTACATAAGGTCGGTCCCTATCCAACCCCACTAGCACCAGATACTATTCTTCCTTTAGTTTACTATATCCCAGCCATGCTGATATCCCTACAAATCCCTATACACAACAGGCCTTTCCTACCTACTCATCTTGGCATTTAGTTTCCAATACTAGGCTTGCTCGCTACGGACTCCTATGCCCCAGAACCCACTAAGTATGTTCTGCTCTTTCAAATTTGAGTGGAAATATGCCTTGAACAAAACTCCAGACTACAAGAACTGGAATATACATCGCTGTAGTCTCGACCTTGTTCCTCGCTGATTTTCTTCGCAGCACATTTAACAATCTGCGGTCATTTTAATTTACGTTTGTGTCCATCTTCCCAGTATGCCAGAAAGTAAGCTCGGAAAAAGGAGGGACCACATCGGATTTTTTATGTCTCCATCCCTAGTGCCTCGGTTCAACTGGAAAGGATACAATACTTAAAAATGAACTGCAAGTCCTGTTGATGACTCTTTGTACACTGTCGTCCTATGACTCGGCCTGGGTTTGGGGTGAAGTTATGTTTTGTAATTCTTTCGACAAAAATAACTCTGTAGTTCTTTCCCAGATTTTACCAGACGAGTACTCCAATACAGAGCTTGCTCATCCTCTAATCCCTTCTCGCGGCTATCTCCTGTCTCCTTGATCCTGCCGTTTCTGACCCCACAAGGAGCCGAGGCCGGGGAGAGACGACCCTGGGCTCCGCCACCCGTTTTCTACTCCTTGAAAACTTCGGCGCCTCTGCCACTCACCTTCTTCTTCTCCAAGCCTCCCATAGCTCCACGTTGCAGGCCTTACGAGGCCCAGGAGGACCGACAGCACCACTTCCTCCCGAACGCTGAGGACCCCTCACGCCTCCAGTCTGTGCAGGCTGCCCAATAAGGTGCCTGTACGTATCCAGAGAAAGAAGGGGCTTTTATAATTGAGTTTACAACTAAACTGTCTAAAAAGAAATCACTAGGCATCTATTTTGAGAGTCTTCCTGCACGTCCTCTTGTTATAGAAATTTAGGAGATACGGGCATTTTTATAATCACCCTAATGAAGATTGCTTAACAAAGTGAACCCCGTTGCATGTTGGGATGGAGGGAGTCGGAAGGCTAGGAGACAGCGCAGTGCCTTCTGGGATGAGAAGGGTGCCACACTCCTAGGTCCCGGCGAAAGTTGCGTTGCTATGGCAACGGAGGCTTGGCGTTGTTAGACGCTCGCTGGTCAGGCGAAGGGCTATCAGTTTGCTTTTGCCTTCAGTTTCTGTTTCGTTCTTTTGCTCTTGCGAAGATAGAATAGAATAAAAGCGACTTTTTCCTCTCAGAGGCATAGAAGCCTAAAAGGCCGCTTAGATTTTCTGAGCCTTAACGGTGAACTGAAAAATAAGGAAAGGCCGAGTAGAGTTACAAAATTCATGGTGGCAAAATAATTCATGGTATAAATTACATATTGTGTTTCTAAAGAGATATTTACAGGATTTATATATTCACACCAGTTTTAGGTACTGTGGACTGGGAAATAAATACAGCTCTAACGTTCTTGCCGGGCATGGTGGCGCACACCTGTAGTCCCAGCACTCTGGAGGCTGAGGCAGGAGGATCACTGAGTTCTAGCCCAGCTTGAGCTATGTAGTGAGTTCAAGGCCAGCCTGAACTACATAGTGAGACCCTGTCTCAAAAAACCAAATCCAGGGATTTAGCTCAGTGGTTCTGGCACCTGCCTTGCAAGTTCAAGGTCCCGAGCTCAATCCCCAGTACCCAAAAAAACCCAAAACTAAACAAACAAAAAAACAAATCCAGGGCTGGGGATTTAGCTCAGTGGTTCAGTCGCCTGCCTCGCAAGTGCAAGTTTCCGAGTTTGATCCCTGGTACCAAAAAACAAATAACAACAACAAAAAAGCCAAATTAAACAAAGGAAACACACAAAAAAGAAAAACAGGCCCAGGGATATAGCTCAGTGGTGCTGCACCCCGCCTCGAAAGCGCAAGGTCCTGAGTGCGATCCCTGAAACAAAAAAAAAAAGAAAAACAATTCTAAAGCTCTTGATGTCTCTTTCCTTGGAGCCTCCATACTCTGTTTGATAACCTCTTAAAAAGTTTAAATTTTTTAAAATAAATTTTATTTTATCCCATCCCCCCCCCCCGAATCCCCTTCCCCTATTTCAAAAGTTGAAGACCTTTGTGAATGTGACCTGGCTGAAAGTCATGGTCATAGAAGTCACCCTCACCTGCTGGAGGTGTGGACAGGATGTTAATGTTTGTTTTGAACAATTTGGATTTTTTTTCTATTTTAAAGCTAAAGCAACAACTCCAGAAATTCCACAAACAATGAAACATGGAAACTGGACATGGGAGGGTGAGCTGACAAAGACTTCCTGAGAGATGTGGGAAAAACCAGGTGTGTGGTGTTCACAGCAGGAGACTGAGGAGGGGGTTTCTGAAAGAATCTGAGGTCAGGGCTTGGGTGGGGCTTAGTGATAGAGCATTTGCCTAGCATGCTTGAGGCTGTGGGTTATGTCAGACCCCAGCCCTGGCAGACTAGAAAAACTTCCCAAGCCCCTCAGTTACACATCCTGCAAGACACAAAGGTTAACAGAAATCCAAGGCCCGGGTTCGAGATAAACAGCCTGCCCCATGCAGCAACACCTTCAGGGTCCAGACACCCCTGGAAACCAGCAGACTTCTTCCGCTCCAAGACAAAATTTTCCACTCTTCCTGGCACTGCCCCTCCCCTACCCAAACTCTCCTCTAAAGTTTCCCCTTGCCCAAGTCCCCAAGGTCAATGGCTTTGTCGCCCTTGACCAGCCTGCACCCAGGCTGAAAATAAAACCGCACTTGTCACTTCAGTTTTGCCTGCTCTGGTGGTCTCAGTGATGCCTCAGTTTATCCTAACAATTTCCATCTACAGCACCACCAAACAAAACAAATCGGAGGATAAAACAGGAGCTAGTAAAGAAGGGAAGGAGAGGGTACTCAGGACAGAGGAAAAAGTTCAGGGTATCCAGAGAACTTCAATAAGTCCATTATGAAACCAGGCATGGTGGTGCACACCTATAATCCCAGCACTCAGGAGGCTGAGGCAGGAGAATCATCGTGAGTTCAAAGCCAGCCTGGGCTACATAGCAAAACCCTGTCTCAAAACGAAACAAAGAAGCCCCCTACAAACAAACAAAAACCCCCAAAAGCCTGTTACAACTAGAACATAGAAGGTGTGACAGGAAGGGGAGCAGGATGGGCTGGAGAGGACAGCAGTAGCTGTCTCATGAAGGAAACACAGGAGTACGGCCAGTGTCATGGGCATGTGACCTGGGCAGTTAACAGGGTCCTTGTACTTGGTCCAATGCTCTGTCACTGTCTTGAAATTCTTAACAGTTTTTAAAGAAAAGGACTGTATTTTCTTCTGACACTTACCCTCACAATTCACGTGGTTGGGGACTAGGAGTGTAGCTCAATGGGAGAGTACTTGCCTAGAAAGTGAAAGGCCCTGTGTTTGATTCCCACACCATCAAAATCAAAACAATCATGTAGTTGGTCCTTCGAAGGAGAAATCATTCACAAAAGGAAGATGTAGTCTGTTTTGCTCACATTAATGTTAAGGGGTTGAGGGGAGACATGGTTGGAGGTATTCAAGTCTGGAGCTTGAATAGAAGTCATCTAGGAACCACATTTTACAAGTAAGGAAACTGAAGCTCAAGGAAAGGAAGTTCCTGCTGAACTCACACTCCACTCCTAAGAGGTGCATAGGCCCAGACACACAACTTTTAGATCCCCTCTCTCTGCTGTGAAAGATTGTTGTGTGATTCTGGAACAATGCAAGGCAAATTTTAATTCCAGAAAGAGAAGATTATGTCCATTAGAGCTGACCATATACAAAATGCTTTTGCAACCTGGGTGTGGTGCCTTTTGCCTATAATCCCAGTACTCTGGAATACTGAGGCAGGAAGATTCCAAGTTTGAGCTCAGCCTGGACAACTAGTGACTTAGTGATACCTTATTTTAAAACAAAGGGCCAGGGGCTGGGGTTGTAACTCAGTGCAAAGGCCCTGGGTTCAATCCCCAATACTACAAAAAAAAAAAAAAAGCTTTCTGGTTTGGGGCAATACTAAATTTCTGTCACCATAGTACTGAAGAGCCCAGTATCTGTAGGTAGACATTACTAATTTACCTCTAAACCTTGAAAAAGCCATTTTTGATGTACCTCTCTTCCTCCTTTGTAAAATGAAACAATTTTAACTGTTTAGAATAGTTTTAGAATAGCTGTTTAAATATTTTTAAATCTTTAAAAAAAATAATGGTGTGCACGCCTGTAATCCCAGCACTCTGGAGGGTGAGGCAGGAGGATTGCCATGAATTCGAGGCCAACCTGGGCTACATAGCAAGACCCTGTCTCAAAAAAAACCCAAACAAACAAACAAAGCCCAGGGCAGGGGATTTAGCTCAGTGGTTCCGGCTGCCTGCCTCAAAAGTGCTAGGTCCCCAGTTTGATCCCCGGTACCAAAAAAAAAAAAAACCCAAATAAATAAATGAATAATGGTAGGCAGTTTGGCAGTTTATTACCAAGTTACATATGATCTTATCATGCTATACAATAATCATGCTCCTATGTATTTACCGAACTGATGTGAATACTAAATAAATGTGGTGCACAGAAAGACTCTGTACATGGATGTTCCCAGCACCTTTATTTATTTATTTATTTTATTTTTTTTTTGGTACCAGGGATCGAACTTGGGACCTTGTGCATGCAAGGCAGGCGCTGGAACCACTGAGCTAAACCCCCGGCCCAGCTTTATTAATAATTATCAGCAATTAGAAACAATTTAAGAGGGCTGGGGATTTAGCTCAGTGGTTTTGCCGCCTGCTGAGCAAGTGTAAGGACCCAAGTTCAATCCCCAGTACCAAAAAAAAAAAAACAATTTAAGATATCTTTCAGTAGGTGAATGGACAAACACTATGGTATATCCATCCATACAATGGATTACTATTTGGTGATTAAAAGAGATGGGCTATCAAACTGTAAAAAGGATGAATGACTCTTAAATTCATATTGCTCTGTGAAAGAAGCCAGACTGCTAAAGCTACATATTATATGGTTTCAGTTTTTTGGCATTCTGGAAAAGAAAAATTATAAAGACAATAAAAAGATCAGTGATTGCTTGGGATTAATTAGAGGTCGGAAAAAAGTTGAATAGATAACATAGATTTTTTTTTTCTGCAAAAAAAGCCATTAGAGTTTTGATAAGGGTTACATTGAATCTGTAGATTGCTTGGAGTAGTGTGCCATCTGAACAATATTAAATTTTACGATCTGAGAACAGAGATGTACTTCCATTTATTTAGGTTTTCCTTAATCACACAGCAATACTTTCTAGTAATGCTTTTCAGTGTACAGCTCTTTTGCATCCTTTGTTAAATTTATTCCTAGGTGTGCTCACGTTGGCAGCACGTATACTAAAATTTATTCCTAGGTATTTTAGTCTTTTTTTTTTTTTTTTTTTTGGTACCAGGGATCAAACTCAGGACCTTGGGCAGCGGCACCAATGTGCTAAATACCTGGCCCCTAGTCTTTTGAAT